ACTCAGGATAAAGGGTATAATAGCAATGACAATTGTGTGGCCAGCAAGCCAAAAAAGCTCGACATAAATGCACGCACTCATTGTTTTTCTAAGGATTTTTTACATTATGACCACTAACACCACCATCTGACGCATAGTCACACAAGATAAGAAGATGATAGAATAATAGAAAACCTTTTAAGTACCTTCCATATTCTACCGACTCGTGACATGCACAACTCTACGTCTATTCATTATGTTCATTACCTGTCTTGATACTGATCATAAAACAATATAATAATGGTCATGATATTTCTCAATTATAGTATTAGAAACTATAACACACTGCATGGGGAAACAGTAGCATCCTACCTAATGAAAGTCACTCCCATGTCCGTAACCAGGGTAGCTTTCTACCGCTTGGAATTCACGCCTGGTATGGAAATCCCTCGCACAGGGGAACGGTAGCTTCCTACCGCATGGAAGTCACGCCTGTGTCAATGATCAAGGGAACGGTAGCTTTCTACCGCATGGAATTCACGCCTGGTAAGAAAATCGCTCGCTCGGGGAAACTAGCTTCTTACCGCATGGAAATCACGGCCGTGTCCATGATCAAGGGAACGGTAGCTTCCTACCGGATGGAAGTCAAGCCTGATATGGAAGTATCTCGCACGGGGGAACGGTAGCTTCCTACCGCATGGAAGTCACGCCCGTGTCCTTGATCAAGGGAACGGTAGCTTCCTACCGCATGGAAGTCAAGCTTGATATGGAAGTACCTCGCACGGAGGAACGGTAGCTTCCTACCGCATGGAACTCACGCCTCCATTATCAATGGAACGATAGCTTTCTACCACATAGAATTCACGCATCTTATGGAAATCCCTCCTACAGGAGAACAGTAGCTTCCTACCGCATAGAAATCACGCCCGTGTCCATAATCAAGAGAACGGTAGCTTTCTACTGCATGGAATTCACGCCTGGTGTGGAAATCCCTCGCACGGGGAAACGGTAGTTTCCTACCGCATGGAAGTCACGCCCGTGTCCTTGATCAAGGGAACGGTAGCTTCCTACCGCATGGAAGTCAAGCTTGATATGGAAGTACCTCGCACGGAGGAATGGTAGCTTCCTACCGCATGGAAGTCACGCCCGCGTCCATGATCAAGGGAACGGTAGCTTCCTACCGCATGGAAGTCAAGCTTGATATGGAAGTACCTCGCACGGAGGAACGGTAGCTTCCTACCGCATGGAACTCACGCCTCCATTATCAATGGAACGATAGCTTTCTACCACATAGAATTCACGCATCTTATGGAAATCCCTCCTATAGGAGAACAGTAGCTTCCTACCGCATAGAAATCACGCCCGTGTCCATAATCAAGAGAACGGTAGCTTTCTACTGCATGGAATTCACGCCTGGTGTGGAAATCCCTCGCACGGGGAAACGGTAGTTTCCTACCGCATGTAAGTCACGGCCGTGTCCATGATCAATGGAACGGTAGCTTCCTACCGCATGGAAGTCAAGCCTGATATGGAAATACCTCGCACGAGGAAACGGTAGCTTCCTACCGTATGGAAGTCAAGCCTGATATGGAAGTACCTCGCACGGGGGCACAGTAGCTTCCAACCGCATGGAAGTCACGTTCGTGTCCGTAACCAGGGGAACGGTAGCTTTCCACCGCATGGAATTCACACCTGGTATGGAAATCATTCGCACGGGGAAACGGTAGCTTCCTACCGCATGGAAGTCACGCTCGTGTCCGTAACCAGGGGAACGGTAGCTTTCCACCGCATGGAATTCACACCTGGTATGGAAATCATTCGCACGGGGAAACGGTAGCTTCCTACCGCATGGAAATCACGGCCGTGTCCATGATCAATGGAATGGTAGCTTCCTACCGCATGGAAGTCAAGCCTGTTATGGAAATACCTCGCACGGGGAACGGTAGCTTCCTACCGCATGGAAGTCACGTCCGTGTATATTATCAAGGGAACGGTAGCTTTCTACCGCACCGCATGAAATTTACGCCTGGTATGAAAATCTCTCGCACGGGGGAACGGTAGCTTCCTACCGCATGGAAATGACGGCTGTGTCCATTATCAAAAGAACGGCAGCTTTCTACCGCATGGAATTCACACCTGGTATAGAAATCCCTCGCACGGGGAAACGGTAGCTTTCTACCGCATGGAAGTTACGGCCGTGTCCATGATCAATGGAACGGTAGCCTCCTACCGCATGGAAATGACGGCTGTGTCCATTATCAAAAGAACGGCAGCTTTCTACCCCATGGAATTCACACCTGGTATAGAAATCCCTCGCACGGGGAAACGGTAGCTTCCTACCGCATGGAAGTCACGGCCGTGTCCATGATCAATGGAATCATTGCTTCCTACCGCATGGAAGTCAAGCCTGGTATGGAAATACCTCGCACGGGGGAACGGTAGCTTCCTACTGCATGGAAGTCACGTCCGTGTCCATTATCAAGGGAACGGCAGCTTTCTACCGCATGCATGAAATTCACGCCTGGTATGGAAATCCCTTGCACGGGAGAACGGTAGCTTCCTAGCGCGTGGAAATCACGGATGTGTCCATTATCAAAAGAACGGTAGCTTTCTACCGCATGAAATTCACGCCTGGTATGGAAATCCCTCGCACGGGGAAACGGTAGGTTCCTACCGCATGGAAATCACGGCCGTGTCCATGATCAAGGGAACGGTAGCTTTCTACCGCATGGAAGTCAAGCCTGATATGGAAATACCTCGCACGGGGAAACGGTAGCTTCCTACCGCATGGAAGTCACGCCCGTGTCCATGATCAAGGGAACGGTAGCTTTCTACCGCATGAAATTCACGCCTGATATGGAAATCCCTCGCACGGGGAAACGGTAGGTTCCTACCGCATGGAAATCACGCCTTGTTCATTATCAAAGGAACGGTAGCTTCCAACCGCATGGAAGTATCTCTCTTTTTGCCATATGACAATTATTATCGTGATTATGAGGGTACCAGTACAGCAAAGCAATAAAAGATACTCATTGAAAACTCTCACCGTTTGATTGATCGAACCTTGACCTGAACTTGATGTGAGCACACACAAGCGAACCCTTTACAAGGAGACTCACATGCAGAATAACGTCTAAAGTATTGTGTATGCTTACAGTTATGAACTGCATACATTTCAGTTACTGTAATAGGTAATAGAAAATCTGAAAGCTCGAATGAGATATTTGCTTTGATCGGCCAATTGATTATCTGTATCTCAGGTGTGGCAGAATTAATGTATTTCGCCTTAAGAATCAGGGGTTAACCCGTGCATTTGCAGTTTGAAATATCGAAAGATCTGCGATCTATTCGTGAACGCTTGAACCTATTTGTAATTTGTATAACCGGGCAAACGCAGTCACGCCTCAAAGCTCTGCAAATCAGATATTGCCTGGTAACGTTTTTTCTGTTTTTTGCTGCTGAATGAGTATCAGGCTTTTAATTTTTTCATTTGTGAGTTACTTAAAAAATGAAAGTGTTAGGAAATACATGTCTGCGGGTCTATAAAACCAATCAATGGTAATGATATGTTACGCTACGGTCCTGAGGTGAACGTTCTGGGATCTTGTGTGAATTTATATACTAAGTGACATATAAATCCGAACACCCAGTTTAAATGGTTTTATTTTAATAAAATTTTGTATAAGGACTTAATGAAGCATAATGAGTAAATGATAAAAATTTCAAAATAATTGCACTGCTTTAAAGCCCTTTGACCTTTAATAATGTGTGGATGCACCCTGATGTGCTACGCATTCTCCAACGCGCCTAGGCATGCTTCTGATCAGGTGGTCAATGTCCTCCTGTGGTATCTCATTCCAGGCAACCACCAACTCCTCTCGAAGTGCTTCTAGAGTCTGAGGAGGACGTTGCAAATTGAGCAATCTCCTACCCATCATATCCCACACGTGCTCAATTGGGGATAAGTCGGGAGATCTTGGTGGCCATGGTAACAATGTGATATCATTATGTTGAAAGAAGTCAATTGTGACTCTTGCAACATGTGGTCGGGCATTATCTTGTTGGAAAGTTGGATCTGCCAGGGTGTCAAGATAGGGTAAAAGATGGGGTTCTAGAATTTCGTTTATATAACGCTGCGCGTTCATGTTACCTCTGCTGAAGATTAAAGGTGACCTGGAACCATAAGCTATAGCACCCCAAACCATAACTCCAACAGTGTGATGAACATGTCTTTCAACAAAAAACTGTGGATTCCTCCTTTCACCACGTCGCCTTCTAACCCTGGCACGACCATCGTGCATGCCTAAACAAAATCGAGACTCGTCACTAAAGACAGTACTGTTCCATTTCTGATCCCAGAGTGACCGTTGTCTGCACCACTCAAGGCGATTACGTCGGTGTAAGGGTTAGTTAGAAGGCGACGTTGTGAAAGGAGGAATCCACAGTTTTTTGTTGAAAGACATGTTCATCACACTGTTGGAGTTATGGTTTGGGGTGCTATAGCTTATGGTTCCAGGTCACCTTTAATCTTCATCAGAGGTAACATGAACGCGCAGCGTTATATCCACGAAGTTCTAGAACCCCATCTTTTACCCTATCTTGACACCCTGGCAGATCCAACTTTCCAACAAGATAATGCCCGACCATATGTTGCAAGAGTCACAATAGACTTCTTTCAACATAATGATGTCACATTGTTACCATGGCCACCAAGATCTCCCGACTTATCCCCAATTGAGCACGTGTGGGATATGATGGGTAGGAGATTGCTCAATTTGCAACGTCCTCCTCAGACTCTAGAAGCACTTCGAGAGGAGTTGGTGGTTGCCTGGAATGAGATACCACAGGAGGACATTGACCACCTGATCAGAAGCATGCCTAGGCGCGTTGGAGAATGCGTAGCACATCAGGGTGCATCCACACATTATTAAAGGTCAAAGGGATTTAAAGCAGTGCGATCATTTTGAAATTTTTATCATTTACTTATTTAGCTTCATTAAGTACTTATACAAAATCTTATTAAAATAAAACCATTTAAACTGGGTGTTCGGATTTATATGTCACTTAGTATAGATAGAGAATGCCTTAGACTAATAAATACACAGAGGGAAGGGACAAACCTTCCTTTTCTAATTTATATGGGGGATGGTTAGATAATGATTGCACGAATAAGGAATAAAATAAGTAAATACGTTTTTGAAAACAAGCATTTATTTATCCGTTAATAAGTGCATATTTATATGATATACCTACATACCAAATTTCATTTTTGTATCTTTGAAAATAAAAAAAATTTAGGGGTGAGATACCTGCTAGGGGCACCCGGTATTCACACTGATCGAAAGTAACTTCTTCCTTGTACCATTATTATATTTGCTGCTATAAACGCCTCATCATTCTTCATCTGGTACTTCTTTTGATCGTTTTCATTAGTTTAAAACCATTCTGAAGTTTTCGCAAGCCTGAAAAGCAAAGAAAAATTTGGTGAAGTGCGTTACACTTCATGACCGAACTTGGTTGTTGTTTCTGATCGGTAGCTTCAAAGTATCTTCACGCGAACTTTTTATAATTCACTGGCGAACTCGAAAAAACCTGACAGAGAGTGGTCGGTAGATCAAATCACAAAAATATTAAACTGGCAAGTTGGAACTTCGGGTTAGAAAATCCACCTTGAGCAGAAAAATGCCTCGAATGTGTGAGTGTCCATTCAAGTTTTAAATGTATCTGATGAAATAAAAGACTGAAAATCAAGGTCCAGCTTGGCTTAAAGTGGACCTGAGCAAGGCAGAACATACACACTGCTGGTGGCAGCTGGTATCCCGCCAAGTGATTTGCTGGGCGGAGTGACGTGCACTCTATAAAAAGGACGTCGAAGATACAAGCGACGAAGGAAAGGTGCTTTTTGTCAGATGGCAGGAGAGATGGGATGCAACTTGCCATGGTGCATGGTCCAGAAGGTTGATCTCCTATAATAAAACTTGGACTGACAAGGACGCATAGTGGATGCACAGTTTCTCACAGGACATGGTTGTTTTGACAGCTACCTGAAGAGTGTAGGAAAGAGAGACTATGGGAATTGCGTATTTTGCAATGAAGATGAGGATACTGCTAGTCACGTACTCGAATGTGGTACGTGGTTTGACTACCAGACACATCGCGAGAAGCTCACTGCTGACAATTTTGCCACGCATATACGCGAGGGAAGATTGTAAGAAAAAATAAACAGTTAAAAAAAATTTGCTACACAAGGATTTTATTCTATTGAGTAATTTAAAATATCAAGAAAAAACACAAATCTCGTAAATCAAAAGTTATTTTTTTTATAAATGACTTAATAATCTAAGATTTTCTTGAATATTTAGCTTCTGGTTGGTCCCTTTTAATTGTCCAGCAGTAATCTGCTAACATATTTGGGCTCCATTTGCCCTGGTACCGCTTTTCCATATTAGAAATGCCCTGATGGAACCTCTCACCGTGCTCGTCGCTGACAGCCCTTAAATTGTCAGGAAAAAAATCCAGGTGCGAGTCTAAAAAATGGATCTTAAGTGACATGTTGCAACCCAATGCTTGATATGACAATAATAGCTCGCTAACCAACTCTCTGTAGCTGTCACTCTTGTGGTTACCCAAAAAATTTGCAACAACATTTTTAAAAGCCTTCCATGCAGATGTTTCTAAATCGCTTAATTTTTCTTCAAATCTTGAATCTTTTATTAACTCTCTAATTTGAGGGCCAACAAAAATACCCTCTTTTATCTTTGCATCACTTATTTTAGAGAATTTTTCTTTTAGATACAAAAATCCACTCCCATTGCGATCCATTGCCTTCACAAATTTTTTTATTAATCCTAATTTGATATGCAATGGTGGTAGAAGCACATTATTTGGCTGTACAAGGGGTAAGTACTTTACGTTTTTTGCCCAGGAACTAACGATGCACGCGTAGGCCATGTTTTTTTTATATAGTGATTAGGTCTGCCTCGGCTATCCCATTCACATAAAAAGCAGCAAAACTTTGTATAACCCAGCTGAAGTCCAAGTAATAGTGCAACAACTTTAAGATCACCGCAGATTTTGAAGGAATATGTACTGTAATTTATTTTTTCAAGTAAAAGTTTCATTTTCATAGGTTTCTTTCATATTTGCAGCATGGGCCAGAGGTACAGACGGAAGCTTATTTCCATTATGCAATAACACTGCTTTTAGACTTGGTTTCGAAGAATCAATGAATAAACGCCACTGAGAGAGAGCAAAATCTATGTCCAACATTTTCATAATCTCATTATGTTATTGCAAAACACGAAATCTCCATCCTGAGAAAAATACGTTCTGATGTGTTGATCACGGTTTCGAAAATAGCTAACTTTTGTATTATGATGTAGCAAATTCCATTCTTTTAGACGTGATCCTAATAGTTCTGACTGCTTTTTTGACAAATTTAAATCCCGAACCAAATCATTTAGGTCTCCTTGAGCTATCAAATGTGGCTCGTTTACAATTCCCTTTAACTCAAAGTCATCGTCCTCGTCAACACATTCACCTGAAGTGGACGGTTGTGAATTGTTCTCAACAGACGTAGTTGCAACTGGTATTAGTTCTGGCAATTTTTTACAATGTGAGACTGGTCTTATAGCCGAAGATAAGTTAGGGTAAATAACTGTGGTTTTTTTCTTGTAATTTATACCTTTTATGTCTGTGAGACAAAAATAGCAATCTGAAACGTGATCTCGCTGTTCAGTCCATATCATGGATACAGCAAACGGCATAGGTCGTGCACCTTTCTTCCAGTCAGTTAAATTTTTCACACACGTTATGCAACAGACATGAGGGGCCCAGGATTTGTCTTGATGGGCGACAGAAAAACCAAAACATTGGTGATAATAGTTCTCCGCATACATAACAAAAAGTGTTAGGATCATTATTACACTTCCTCGACATATTCACAGGGTTAATAAATCACAAAAAAGTGTTCAAATTCAACAACAAATATTTTTATAAGGATTTACTTGTAAGCGTTTCTGTTAATTTACTGCCGTAGTACTAGTTATGAGTATTACCGTATCACAACAGATATGAGGCTAATAGACATATGACAGCTGTCATGTAATAATGAGGGTAGACTGATAAAACAAAATTAGCTGTCAAAGTTCGTGTGGCAAAGCCAGTGTTGACCAGTGTATTCAATCAATAGTGAAATACAACGAAATTGACCAAGGAACCAATAAGTAGGCTTCGCACTCCTCAACTCAACTATCAGATTGATAATCATGTCGGATAGCCAAAAAGAGTTGCATAACTGCGTTACACTGATCGAACGAGTAATTCTCTCTGGCTGTCAATAGACATCTTAGACGTACCAGAAAAACAATCATCACATGTGTGTGCTGCTGACGTCCATTTTATTTGTTGCAAAACGTTTCAATCCGTTTCGCCGCCGTGTCGGTGAGTTTCCCAATGCGCGGCGACCGACAACAAAAACTAAACTATTTTGCGTTTTTTTGGAGTATAATCGATTATGATCGGTTGTTACAGCAGACTCCCAATCAAGCTGTGCTATTCGCAGTCAGATGCGAGGATTGACAGACCTCAATCTAACCCGGCGATTATCCTTTCGCGTTTATGTAATAGATTGAAGATGATCTAATTGTAAAAGCGGCTATATGCATCGAATTGAATATTTTTTTGAGAGAGCCTAAAGAGTTTCTTGAAAATAGTTAAAAGAAAAAACACGATTTGATTTGGCCGTTGTATTTCAAGGAGTGACACATGTGTGGGATCTGTCAACTTTTGGTACCAGTCACAAAACATACTCTGAAGGTTTAATTCCATGCTATTCAATCACAACACTTGTGTGGTTGTCAGCGGCCATTTTGTAAGGATTCCAGATTGTGCATTAATATCCCGTTTCACCCTCCTGGTCCCAGTGGAGTAAGTTCCGCCAACTGTTGAAATATACTCTACTATGCTTTATAAGACTATTCGTGACATTTTCCCAAAATCATTGCACAACACTGAAAATGAAAATTTAAAATTATTTCCATGACGCCGCAAAATAGGGATGTTCGATAGGATCCTATATTTAGAAGTATCAATACATTTCACGAGTATCGTCATCTTTCGATCCGGACTGTGTCAGAAAGAGTGGCTGCCATTTGGCTGCGACATTACCCTGCCAAATCAGACATATCTTTCATTATTTTCAAATAAATTCTACAAAATCTTCAAATTTGTGAAGTTAGCGAGTTTCACTTCATACATTCTTACCAGACATGCCCAAATCATCAGTTGCTGCAGTGATATTCATACCGACCACTGCATCCCCACGGCTAGGCGACCTGAATGTTAAATTTGTATTGATAGGGCAGCTGGTTATGCTATAAATCATATGTCACAGTGTTTGTGCACAATCTACCAAAGATGCTTATAATCATGATACCTAGTAAAGTTTCACGAAACAAATGTAAAACCAGCAAATGTAAAAGATTCACCACGGGACGTGATCGTCGTTAGACTTGGCAACCCTCGAGTGACAGATATATATCCCCGCCAGTCAACGACCGCCAGTCAAAAACACAAACAATAAACATTACTAGTTTTGATGATTTTTGGACTTAAAAGGACATTATTTGTGAAACATTTTTCATAATGTTTTGTCTATGTCCATAGTAATTGCATTATGCATCAGTGATATGTAGGGATTGACACGTCTTACACATATTATCTGTGTTTTAGGATGGACAGGACATAATGTTTTTATTGATTTGAAGAAATTCATTAACCCATAAATTAATAAATGATTACTATTATGACGTAAAGGAAGATGAGGAATTGGATGGAATATATTTTATATTCTATTTTCTTGCAAAATACAGACAAATCCACACTATTCAACAGGTATGTAATGATAACTTTCAGTATATTGAAGCTGGTAAATTCGAGAGTGCCATGCATTAACAAACGTCCAAATCTGCTGCCAAATTTAACAGCTAGAAAATCGACCTATTATTTGCCGCATTCCCATTCGCTGAGGGGAATAACGGATTGTTAAATGTAAACCTATACCATATATCAAAATACATGAAAGTTGTCCTATTTTTTCTGTACAAAAGCATCATGTTGGAATCAAAAATAGGTCTTGTTTATAATACAGTCGAATTTTCACGATTTTATTCAATATTTTAGTAGAAATCACTAATATTCAGAGACCTTTGACAGCTTCTGCCACATTGCATTGCGATAAAGTATTTTCCCATTGGTCCATAATATTAATGTTGGTGAAATCGGCCCTTAACGACTTATTTTTTCATCAATTTTACTTTCCAACAAGTGAGTTTGCACTCGACAGCGCTTGAGCAGTCTCGAAATTCGCGAATATATAAATAGAAACCTTTCCCGACTCGCGGATTTCGAGTTCAAGGCCGCCATTATCAGCTTCGAACGTACCGCAAACGAAAAGCAGGTATTCCGAAATCTTCCGTACACACACACTCGCAGGATCATACTTAAACGAGTACGCACAAAAACAAATGACTTCACGGCAGACAGACAGCATCGAGCAGGCTCTGTCGAAACATATTTGCAATGATTCGCAAGGGGATGACGTCACCGAGAGGCGCGGGGGGTCCAGAACTGGAAGCCGGCCAAACCTCAGCCGGCGCTATTCGCAAAAAATTGCGAAACTGCCCTATCCCAACATTCGCGCCAGTGTTAGGTCAGGAATGGAATGTACACAACGTGTATGCGTACATTTGTTTGGTACAGGTGACTAAAATGAGAATGATCAATAGGGATGTTCGATGCGATCCGATATTTAGAAGTATCGATACTTTTGCTTCAGATGCGATACTTGGGTGTATCGATACATTTCACGAGTATCCTGTCAGAAAATAGTGATTATACTAAGTGACATATAAATCCGAACACCCAGTTTAAATGGTTTTATTTTAATAAAATTTTGTATAAGTACTTAATGAAGCATAATAAGTAAATGATAAAAATTTCTAAATGATTGCACTGCTTTAAAGCCCTTTAACCTTTAATAATGTGTGGATGCACCCTGATGTGCTACGCATTCTCCAACGCGCCTAGGCATGCTTCTGATCAGGTGGTCAATGTCCTCCTGTGGTATCTCATTCCAGGCAACCACCAACTCCTCTCGAAGTGCTTCTAGAGTCTGAGGAGGACGTTGCAAATTGAGCAATCTCCTACCCATCATATCCCACACGTGCTCAATTGGGGATAAGTCGGGAGATCTTGGTGGCCATGGTAACAATGTGACATCATTATGTTGAAAGAAGTCTATTGTGACTCTTGCAACATGTGGTCGGGCATTATCTTGTTGGAAAGTTGGATCTGCCAGGGTGTCAAGATAGGGTAAAAGATGGGGTTCTAGAACTTCGTGGATATAACGCTGCACGTTCATGTTACCTCTGATGACGATTAAAGGTGACCTGGAACCATAAGCTATAGCACCCCAAACCATAACTCCAACAGTGTGATGAACATGTCTTTCAACAAAAAACTGTGGATTCCTCCTTTCACCACGTCGCCTTCTAACCCTGGCACGACCATCATGCATGCCTAAACAAAATCGAGACTCGTCACTAAAGACAATACTGTTCCACCCTGATCCCAGAGTGACCGTTGTCTGCACCACTCAAGGCGATTACGTCGGTGTTCTCGAGTTAAAGGGAGGACCCTAGTGTGGCCGGTATGAAAACAAGCCAAAACTTCTCATTCGTCGGTAAAGACTTCGCTTGCCAATAGGTCTTCCGTGTTCTGCAAGACATTCATTTGCAATGGACCTGGTAGTGGAGAAACGGTCCCTTAAGGCCAATAATCTTAGGCGGCGATCTTCACGGTCTGTTGTTCTACGGCGGCGTCCAGTGCCCCTTGCTCTTTGCGTACGGCCTTCTCGAAGCCATGCCTGACAACACCTAACCACAGTGTCTACACTTCTTTGCACTCTAACTGCAATTGCCCGAAAAGAAAGTCCAGCTTCCCGAAGTCCCACTATACGGCCCCTATCAAACTCACTAAGTTGACGAAATCGTACAGGTCTCCGTACTCTAGGCATCGTAACTGATCGTAAAGGATGTCAAGAACCAAAATCCGCCAACGTTGATTCTTTACTGCGGCTGAAATATTCATTTTTAGAGCGTTAGTGAATTAAAAAAAAGCAGTATAAAAACCGGAATGTCCAACTGATAAGGCTGAACATTTTTACACTTGTTATTTACAGTAAGATAAATACATTCACCAACTTTTATTAAAATAAAACCATTTAAACTGGGTGTTCGGATTTATATGTCACTTAGTATAATAACTTCAGATTATTTTTCTTCTTTGTTTCCTTCCACTCCACGAACTCACATAATTTATTCTGGATTCCAGGGTTGCCGTATGAAGGGGCTTTCCTCAAAAATCAGGGGATTTTTATTTCAACGGGGAAAGTTTTGGGGATATTTTTTTGGGTTTTTCTTTTGGAAACATATTTTAATGAGAAAGTATTATTATGTAAAATTTTATTAATGATATTACATAATGTATTTGTTATGTATTTATTTGTTTTTCGATTCGAAACAAATACTTTTACCTTTTGGGGTTTTTAGCGACATACAAAAAACATGTCGCTCAAAACAAATATTTTAGTATCCAAAATGCCTAACAAATCGTAAACCTATGGTAACAATAAATAAGCGGTATTTATTGGGGATGTTTTTTTGAAAAGCTAAACAACCTGGCAACCCTGTTAGATTCGATTTCGGGGAATTACACACACATGACTCACAGTGGTTTTGGTTCTAATTGATTCAGCATTGTAGTTTGAAACAAAAAATTATTGTGGCAGTGATGCCTCCTGTAAGAATTGATTTGTGGAGATACTTTTTTTTTATTGCTTTATACGGGGTAATGCTGTTGTGCTTTGGTGCACGTAGATTGTAAAAAATGTTTTTGTAGTGTAATTGTTTTTATACAAGGTGATTTATGTCATTATTATTTTTATGGCGTTGACAATAGATGATAAGTATCATTTGCTCAAAAATATTGCGACTTGAAGAATAGTTTTTCGCCTGTACGTCACTGATTAGAGATTACCCACTTGTCGCTCTGTCTTGTTGATCATAGCGAAATCTCAGTAACTCGCTGTGTTGATTTTGTCAAAAATTAGAAGAAATGGTACTTTCACAAATTTGAAAATGGGTGCTGAAATAGATAAAAAACAAACCTAGTTTTTTAATTTTGTTCATATTTTCAAAACGTTTGTTGTATGAAATTCTATCGTTTTCAAAAACACATCAACACTTGCAGAAACTTATGCGATGGTGCATCTCCACAAAGTCAATACACAGTTAGTACAGCCATTTATATTCACTAGGAATTATTTTTTGTCAATGGCAATATAGTGACTTTGTATTCAAATTTGATTGCGCACCTCCAGTCATGCAGTAAAGGAACCAACGTCGAAGTTTTTTTCTACTATAACTGTATATTCTTTGGTTACAACCCGATAGCAACTTGCAGGCAAAAATTCGTAATCTTAGATTAAATCCAGAAAAATCAAAATCGCCTAGAAAATTTAGAAATCAAATTAAGAAATATTCGACTATAACTATATCATTAAATCATGAAATTATAAACGTAAGTGGCACTGTATGTCTAAATTTTATTCCTCATGTGAACAATGTTACAGAAAAGTTGTTTTTTAGTACTTTTAGTAAATTGTTTATCATCCGCTTTTAGATTGAGTGTCTGTCAAGCGCATGCAAAGAATTCAAAATTGTTGTTGCAGATTAATCTGTAGACCCTTTAGAACTTGGTTTGTCCTCTCCAGTCTCCATGCTCTGTAAATCAAGAAATGGCCGATACGATCGCTCCTTTGCCTTGGGTAGTATCAAGATTGTATGTACGATCTGAGATTTTCTCCAGTTTCAGTTCGAAACCTGCGTCAACAAAATATCTTCTCTTTTAGTATGCTTAGCAAATCGGATAGCCAAAACAAATAGCAGATGTCCTACTAGCAGCGTCCAATTCCTAAAACAGATACTGCATCCGTTGCGTAATATAATTCATTCACTAAGAACCGCTGTCAAGAACATATTACAAGTATTATCCAACTATTACATTTTCCACTGGACTGGTTTTATTTATATAGTGATACGGGGGGCATCTTTTAAGTTTAGATGCTGAATAGTTTATTTATAGCGGTCTCACTGATCCTTTTCAAAGAGGTATATTGTTCTAGATAACAGTAACAAATCGCAAAAAAACTGCTCACAGTCGCCCTACAGATAGGGATCTACTAAAAATATAGAAAAGTGCGATTACAATTTTTGTAATCATTTCGCTGGTTTTAATGTTATGTTTATGTTGTCAGTTGTTGTGTGTAATTTTTCCAATTAAATTAATAATAATTTTGCAAGTGAGACAATAGAACGGTTTTTATTTTTTTACTCAAAAATGGCGCATCGAGGGAAAACAATTCAAGAGAGATCATTTGTTTTAAATTGAACGGGGAATTCAAAAATAATTTTTATTTGGCAAAAAACCATTGGCGTACCATTTTTTTCTCAAAAAATATCGAAGTCAATACCCGTACGCATGCTACTGTTAAAGCTAAAAATTATTTTTGCATTGAAAAATATGCAGTTGAGATTTTCTGTCATCATATAAAGTTACTACAATATGATGAATAAAAAATTCAATTTGAACGTTAGGCTTGGGTGCATGTTTCCCATCGATATTTGTTCGGAAAATTAAAAGTTCTCCAGCTTTGGGCGTCAAAAAATATGGCGCATTTTCAGTGTCAACGTCGATTGCAACACTCGTATTTACGGACGACTTTCTGCATCTCCTGAAGCTAATATCAAGGTCAAACATTATTCTGCATTTTATGTTATTTTCCTGTATGCATTCTTAGAGTTTTTTGTTCTCTTGCCGCAGGATTTAATCGAGCATACCTATTGATAAAACTCGTAAAACATAAATTATAAATGTGTCGACTAGATTACATACTAACACAGATTTTAAAAATAATAGTTATAAATAGTACGTGTCTGATATTGATATTGATACTGATATAACAAGCAACTTAAACTCCCGGCACGTGACTGAAATAGTTTGGCGTTTATATGGAACCTCCGGCTTGTAGATTTTTTATACCGAAGCAGCCGAGTAGACAGAAGTCTAAATCCCAGGGCTCCGCGGTTCTATGAGGAGGTTTAAGAAACTTTATTAATCCGATTTTTAAACTGCCTAAGGTTAAGCAGAACTGGGAACAACTGTCTCGCTATGTATTGTTTCACAATCTCGATACCCTAGCGACAAAGGAGCGGTCGTATCGGCCAGCTCTGGATGTAAAGCCCAAATAGTGCATTTCTGGTTCTGACAACAGCGTCTTTCTAATGTATTCAGAGTCAACCTACTCGACATCCACATGTATACTAAGTGACATATAAATCCGAACACCCAGTTTAAATGGTTTTATTTTAATAAAATTT